TAATCCTAGCTATTCAGGAGGCTGAGATCTGAGGAACATGGTTCAAAGCCAGCCTGGGGTGGAAAGTGAAACTTCTCTCCATTTAAAAACTGGAAATGATGCTGTGGCTTCACTAGAGCACAACCTTTTATAAAACCTCAGAGGCACCACCCAGCCCCTGAGTTCCAGCCCTAGTACTGGCACACAGAAACATTTTTAAAGGTTAAATTACTTTACCACTGGATATCTTTTCCTCTTGTTTCTGTAAGAGCAAAGCCTCTTCAACATGAAGTTTGGAAATTGTCAAATATTGATGAGTGTTTCCCTGTATCATATCAAAATGATCAGGACCAATTATGTTAATTCTTTTGGTGGGGTAAAAAGATCAAGTTCAGTAATTGAAGAACATTCTCCTTTATAATTTAAAAATATAATTATAATAAAATTTCCTCTTCTATCATAACCACACCCAGAAGCAGATAATAATCACCTCTTTTATAGCAAAAATACCAGGCTGAAAACTGATCTTAAAATCGGATGGCCCAAAATTCTTTGCTACTTGCCCGTGTGACATTGTTCAACAGTTCCTTGAGTCTCATCTATGAAATACTAGAATTCTATAGGCTGGGTGCCAGTGGCTCATTCTTTTTTTTTTTGGTCAGTCGTGGGGCTTGAACTCTGGGCCTGGACTGTCCCTCAGCTCTTCAGCTCAAGGCTAGCGCTCTACCACTTGAGCTACAGCGCCACTTCCGGCTTTTTTCTTTTTGCTTATGTGGTGCTGAGGAATCGAACCCAGGGCCTCAGGCATGCAAGGCAAGCGCTCTACCACTGAGCCACCTTCCCAGCCCTTCTTTTGACACTTTTATCAATGTAGATTTATTCAAACTAAACAGCTATGATAATTTCAAGTAACTCTTCCTCGAGTAACTATTGTCTCAAATTTAACTAATGCCACTATCAGGGCAGGCAGCAATATTCTCCGTCAACCACCAGTTTCTTCTTTGTTTTGTTCTTTCTCTATACCTTCACTGTTATACGTCATGCCAATAATGTCTCTACATTCTCATTTTCCATGTCCAGCACAAATGGCAAAACAAGCAGTCCAATATGATGAGAAGGAAGCAGGCCCAACTCCAAAGCTTATTTCATTAACATAATCTGGGTAAGTCCAAATTTGATTACTTTCTAAGGGTATGTGAAAGGGTTGACAGACGATGAATGCCAGTATTGAGTCTTCTGGAATTTTATGTACCAGTTGGTGAGAGATCACATCTGAAATTGAGATGAATTCTCAAATGTGACTTAAGAAACATGGACACTAAAACTCTACTTGACAATAAGAATAGGTTTTATTTAGAGATAAGTACAAGATGTGGGGTGGAGGTTCCATGATCACATTTGTCTTATTAAATGTATAAGGCTGCCAAGCACCAGTGGCTTACACCTGTAATCCTAGTTACTCAAGAGGCTAAGATCTCATGAATGTGGTTCAAACCAGCCCAGGCAAGAAAGTACTTGAGAGTTTGATCTCCAATAAACTACTCAGAAATAGCCAGAGGTGGCACTGTGGGCCAAGTGGTAGAGTGCTACACATGAGCACAAAGAGGCTCAGGAACAGCATCCAGGCCCTGTGTTCAAATCCCAAGACCAGCAAAAAAGAAAAAGAAAAAAAAGTATGGCCATAAAATGGGAGATATAAAAACTGTTCCATGATGCTATTTATAGATAAATTAAAAGAAACCACAAGAGAGTCTATACATCCTCACCATATTGTTTCAACAACACTAATTTAATACTCATAAACTCAAGGGAAAGTTTCATAGTTAAGCTGTGAATGTTCCCTTGGGAACTGAATGATTGTTCTCCTTTGTGGCTTTAGATTTGACATTACATTTGATCTTGCATGCGGTGATGTGCCAGGGAACATCCCAAGAATCCCACAAATCATAAATAAATTTTATCTTTGCATAAAGAGGAGATAGAGAAAGAAGAGGAGGAAGAGAAGCAGAGTGAGAGCAGGAGTAAGAGGGAGAAAGAGAAAAAGAGAGGCAGATACTCAGAATATAAGTGAATTATCCGAAGGCACAGACTACATACCTGTAGTCCTAGCACTCAGGAGGGTAATGCAGGATGATCATGAAATTCAGTGGGCACCCTAGGATCCATAGCATGATCTAGTTTTTGTTTGTTTGTTTGTTAAATCCAGCCAGATTATTATTTCAGGCCAGCCCGGGGGAAAGTTTGTAAGAATCTTTGCATGTGGTAGCTATGCTTTTTTTAGGCAAGGTGATCAGCAGCTGCCATTCCAGCTATGGTGGGAAACAATAGCACCACCGTGCATGTTGCCCTGGGAAAAAGAGCAAGACCCCATCTAAAAAATGATCAGAGCAACAGGGCATCGGTGGCTCACCCTTGTGATCCTAGTTACTAAGGAGGCTGAGATCTGAGGATCATGGATCAAAGCCATCCAGGACAGGAAAGACCATGAGACTCTTATCTCCAATAAGCCACCAGAAAACCGGAAGTGGTGCTGTGGCTGAAGTGGTAGAGCACTCTCCTTGAGCTGAAGAGCTGAGGGACAGCACCCAGGCCAAGAGTTTAGTCCCCACACAGTTTCTTGGCTGAGATGCCTTCCAACCATGATCTTCAAATCTCAGCCTCCTGAGGAGCTAAGATTATAGGCATGAGCCACTGGTGCTTGGCTTGCCTCTCTTTTTAATGTTGGCTTTGCTTAAAGCATCCCGTTGTTTAGCAGGTGTTGACCATCTTGGTCAGCTGGTTCTACAGAACTGAATGATGTTCCTAGCTTGCCACTCAATGCAGTCCAGCTCTAGTTGGGGAAAGGATACTTTGTGATTCTCATGACTACACAATTCAGTAGGTTCTTGAGGACAGTATTCACTTGTAAGGCCTTTGTTTTAGCAGCCACTGAGAAAGCAGACATGTTTTGGGCAAGAAAACTGTATCAGTATCTTCTCTTTTCTACTGAAGGGAAAGGCTCATCAGGTACTGGAGAGCATAGATTCAGTCACACCTGCAAAAGGATTGTAGACTTCAGCAGTTATTGTCTAGGCCAAGAGCAACCTCTGTCATGTCTGTGTGCTTGAGTAGCAAAGAGAAGTTTCCTTGGGAAACTGAGAGGTTTCCTTTGGTTTGGTCTGATGTGTTTTGATTTGGTTTGGAGGTGGTGCTGGGAAGCACTCAGGTGTCATGGATGCTGCTAGGTAAGCACTCTACCACTGAGCTACATGAGATTGAAATGAAGACAACCTGAGTTTTCAGTGAAGACAGTGAAAGTCAAATGCTTATTGACACCTGTGCCTGGCACAGAATGAGCAGTATGAATAATACTTTTGCTCTGTGCCCTCCCCCCAGAGAAGTAGCTCCCGCCTCCAGAGCTCTGTAGCCTGCACTGGAGAGGGGCCACCTGACGGTCTCTCACAGGATATGAATGCAAGTAGACACTTTCTAAAACAGAAAATAAGAAACATTTTAATTCCATGCATTTTCTCAGCCCTGTTAAGTATGATAACTTAGTTATAATAAGTATTATAAAATTGGTTTAAAATAGTTACCTAACGCTAGGTGATGTTCACTGGCTATGAGATACTTAGGGGTGTGCAATTCATCACTAGCCAGTAAAAGTGAAAGGAGACAGAGGATATCTTGTAAGAAAATGTTTTGAATAAAAAGAGAACAGGCCTGTAGGGAGCACCTGGAAATATACATCTGTCACATAACACATACCTCCAGTGTTGGCTTATTTTCCTTTTTGTTGTTTTGAGATAGATTATCATTTCTGCATGTTGACCTTAGCCCCCTGAGTGCTGGTGTTAGATACATGCACTACAATCCCCGGCTTAATGCTGACATCTCTTTGTTTATTTATTTTTTTGTTTTGAGTACTATGGTGAATCCAGGGCTTTGACCACCTAAACTACATCCTTTAAGAGGGTCTGGCTGGGCTGGGAAGGTGGCTCAGTGGTAGAGTGCTTGCCTTGCATGCCAGAGGCCCTGGGTTCAATTCCTCAGCACCACATAAGCAAAAACAAAAAAGCCAGAAGTGGCGCTGTGGCTCAAGTGGTAGAGCGCTAGCCTTGAGCTGAAAAGCTGAGGGACAGTGCCCAGACCCAGAGTTTAGGCCCCTCGACCGGACCAAAAAAAAAAAAAAGAGGGTATGGCTGATTTTGCCTGGCTGACCTCAAACTCCTGGTCCTCCTGTCTTCACTGCCTAAATAGCTGGGATTACAGTTGTGTGCACCCACGTCTGGCTCAGTGCTAGCTTCTTCTTCTTCTTCTTCTTTTTTTTTTTTGGCGGTCGTGGGGCTTGAACTCTGGGCCTGAATTCTGTCCCTCAGCTCTTCAGCTCACAGTGAGTGCTCTACCACTTGAGCCACAGCGCCACTTCTACTGCTAGCGTGTTAACCTAGATAACAGTTAGAGTCTTCTTCCTTATCAGCCATAACCCCTCCAACAGCGCTGCAAAACTCAATGGCCTCAAAAAAGTCTACATGGTCCTTGACTACATGTCTAGTAATCTAGTGTATTACATTTTATTTACTTTGGATTTAAAAACTTCTTGCTTCATGAATACAAAGTTAGAAGTTACATTAGAATAGTCAAATCACATGAAAATTGCCCTTATATGATAGGTAGTTGTTAACCTGAATAAAAGAATCTTCGTAGTAGTCATAAATTCAGAAATGTATATTACTATATGTCAAACAAGATACATGGACTTATAGCAGTAGTCCATAGTGATAAGGGCATTGATATCTAAAATATATGTGATGAGTTCAAATGAAGTATGAAAAAGTAAATGTACTAAGGCATTTGATATGCTAATAAGCACATCTTTACTAAATGAATAATTAAAATAGAGGAATCACTCCTGCCACATTAGTATACTTTTAGTCTGTAGAGCCTCCAGTCAGAAATACTAGGTTCATCTGTTCTCCCTAACTTGTTTCCCCAGCCTTCTCAGTGTGGCATGGTGCCTGAGGAGCTGCATATGATGAGCTTCATATTTCGTCCTGTTCTAACTCTAATTCAATTTGTTCCTCTGTTGCTTCTGGTGGGAGTTCTTCAAAGGATTCTTCTGATGGCACCTCTTCTCGAGGAATCTTTTTAGGGATCTCTGTAGGAGCTTCTTGATGCTCTTTGGGGGTCTTTGGATAAGTTTCTTCCTCCTCTTCTTCTTCTGGTTCTTCTACTTCTCTTTCCCCACCTTTAATAATGTAGACGAGGCCAACTGTTATGCCTATTATAGCTAGTGTCATTACTGTAATTACTACTACTAATTTTAAGTTTTGCAACGTATTGGTTCTTTTCTTGGCATTTTGTGCAAGTTCTAGGCTTTCTTTTGGATCTGCAGGCGGGCCACTGTCCACACTCCCACCATTTCCTCTACCTTTGCAGTCTGGAGGGGCACTGCCTACTAAACAATGGCAATGCTTCAAGTTATTGCAAACTCCTTTTGAATTACACATTTTCTCTACATTGCACGTAGGCCTGATTATGTTGCTATGAATACAATTATAATTTTGACAAGTTTTCTTTTTACCACAAAGAGTGCCTAGCCAGACATCTCCTTCATCCCGGACACCTGTATTTTGAAATCCATCCATGCTCCAATAGAATGCCTGCCTATAAGGAATCTGAATGAGTGTTTGACTGGCTGTGATTTTTGGCATTACAGTAATACCAACACATACAAGTTTTCCACATTGCACATTCTCTTCTGAACATTTTATATAGCTTTCTGGAGGCCCAGGGACACGGCCACAGTGCCCAAATCGATCGCCTCTCCTGTTCATTTTAATGTACAATTCCTTTGAGGCAGATCTTGATGAGTTCCCAAAAACAAAGGTACACTGACCATTATAGTCCATGCAATGACCACTACGACAATAGAAATTCTTATTACACACAGATCCATCTTCCATATACCTGTCTGCAGGACACATTGCTGAAGCACCATCACAGTATTCTGGGAGGTCACACAACCCAATAAGAGCACGACACAGGAATCCCTTTTTTCGAAATTGACATCTAGAACAGCATGGTTCATTACTACACTTTGCATTTTTCTTCAGGTGACAGTTTGTGTCACAGCACTGATTCTGTTCACATGAATCCCCACAGTCACACTGTTCTGACTCCTCTATCACACCGTTTCCACACCTAGCACTCCTGTGCTTGCGGCTTCTGCGCTGTGGCTTGTTAAACAGACAAGCCCCTTTGTGTCCGAGAAGGAAACGGTAGAAGGAGTCAGAGCTGCAGTTGCTGAAGGCACTTCCTTGGGTGATGTTTTCATGCATGAGGCAAAGGTGCTTGCCTTTACACGAGCAGGCTGAGTGGTCATGCTGAATGCCCAGGTTGTGCCCGAGCTCATGGACCATGAGTGCTGCAAAGAGGAGGACATCTTTGTGATGGAAGGATTCCACAGCCGCCGCAAAACCACTCGAACAGGCACCATCGAGAAATGCCTGGCCCATGCTCTGTCCGGGATGATGCCCAACGATCATGTGGGCAACATCGTGCCTCACACGGTGGAGGAGCTTGTCTCGCCGCCAGCTGTTGAAATTCCTGAGTGCCACCTGCAGGTCCACCGGGACCTCTACCAGGTCCCCCTCGGTCCAGATCTCCACCCCAGCCAGCACCACCTTTGTATTGAGTCCCCTGGTGAAGCTGTTGGCCAGAGCAATGATGTCCAGTACTCCCTGGACCGTGTCATTGATGTTACTGCCCCACATCTGGAACCTCTGGTAGTTGACCACCACAAACATCTCCACATACTTGGTGTGTGTCCACAAGTAGGACAGCCCCTGGAGGTGATGAGGCTCCCTGCTGTCTTGCTGCCGGCCAGTGGGCAGCACTTGGCTGTGTGTGGAAGCCACACGACAGGAGGCTGGGGCTTGATGTGCCGTGGCGTACAAGACATGTTCGAACCGTTGGGAAGAGGGCATGGGCTCAATGCGGTAGGATGCCTCCTCCGTAATCAGGATGCCCCTGAGGCCTGAACAGGTGTTGACAGAAACAAAAGAATGTGGCACTCCTTCTATGTAGCCTTCATAGTGGCAGTCCTGTGAGATCCAAGGCACTGCTTGCTCCAGGACACCACGTTGGTAACTGTAGATGGGAAAGCCGCTCACAGAGTAGTCTGTCTTCACCTTCAGGTGAACCAGCTGCTTCTGACCTTGGATGAACAGCATGTACGATACGGTTTGGACCAGACCTTCGCCTCTCTTGACTGTCAGCTGCTCTGGGATGACTATTTCATGGGAAGAGCCGTGTACCGATTCCAGGTCACAGTGCATGCTTGGGAGAAGAATTACCCCCAGGAGCAACATGGTTGCCAGCCTGACACACCGATGTCCTGGTGCAAATTCCGGCCTCAGTCCCTTCGTCTGGGGAGCCCAAGTCTGAAACATTACCTCAACTGCTTCTAGGGTCACTTGCCTTTTGCACAGAGAAGGCAAGATGGAGGCTGAGATCCTTGGTGATGTCACCACTGACATGGCCCAAAGGAATCAGTTGATAAGGCAAACGCCTGGCCTGTGTCCATCAGCAGCACATTGCCTGACAAGCTCTTCTGAGATGCGGATACTATCCCTGGAGGTGTGCTGGCTCCTTGTGGGCAGTTGCTGACCAACACTTAAGCACGGCCTTCAGGCTGTGTCTTTTCCTATTCTTGTTTCTCACCTGGCCTTCAGCAGTAGCCACCGGACAGGAGTTCCTTTCAACAGCCACAGTTTGACGTTCCCTGGCTAAGTTTCTTTTTATGTTCATGGAGAGATGAACCAGGTAGAAGGCTTGGTGTGGTTCAGCAGTACAGTATCTCTGATTTCACTTTATTTTGTCCAGGCCACACTGCTCCTGCCTGATAGCCGTTAATCTGCTCATTCTTTCAAATCCAACATTCTGGCAAGTGGCCATGGGGGAGGGGATGCAGATTCTCTGGGGATCTCTGAGCAGGACAGTGTTCTCTGTTGCCCACTGCCTCTTCCTCTTGTCTACAGGTTTCTGGATGATGTTTCTCTGTTCAGTCCTCCTTAGTCAGTGATTTGGTATTTTTCTCTCCCTGAAAATCATGATAGTCCAAGTTTTCATCACTATTCTTTGTTTTTCGTAAATGGATTTAGGGACTTTCTATCTGCTTGTAAAAAGTAACCAAAGCAGACATCGTGGTGTGTGCTCTCATTTTCAGCAGGTAAAGACACAAGACCTGGTCAAAGTTCAATTCCTCTCAATGCTTCAACATTAAAACAACAGATTGGGGTAAAAGTGAACTTTCATCAATCAGCTCTCCAACCAAAATAAGGACGGGATTTATTAGAACTCTAATTATTTCCACTTCAATAGACAAATTGGGCTGTAATTTTTGTGGTAGTCAGATTTTGGTATTTCTGTGTCTTGTTTGTTTATAGTCGTGAGGATCAACCTGTCGGTATTTTCTCTAGAGGCAGGCATTCTACCAATGAACTACAGCTTCAGTCATTGGTGTTTTTGTTTTTTTGCCAGTCCTGCAGCTTAAACTCAGGGCCCCGATACTTCCTCTGAGCTGTTTTTTTTTGGTCAGTCTGGGGCCTGAACTTTGCGCCTGGGCGCCATCCCTCAGCTCTTCAGCTCAAGGCTAGCGTTCTACCACTTGAGCCACAGCACCACTTCCAGCTTTTTCTGCTTATGTTGTGTGAGGAATCAAACCCAGGGCCTCATGCATGCAAGGTAAGCACTCTACCACTGGGCCACCTTCCCACCCCTCCTGAGATTCTTTTGTTCAAGTCTAGCACTCTGTCACTAGAGCCACATTCACCACTTCTGGCTTTTTCTGTGTATGTGATGCTGAGGAATCAAACCCAGGGCTTCATGCATGCTAGGCAAAAACTCTACCACTGAGCCACCTTCCCAGCCCCACACTTGGTGTTGAGACAGGGTCTCAAAATGTCACTCAGGGTAAGGTGCTAGGCTTGAGCTGAAGAGCTGAGGGACAGTGCCCAGGCTGAATTCAGCCCCCACGACCGACAAAAAAGAAAAAATGTGTAGGCAACTCAAACTTGCTGTATAGCCCAGACTATCCTTCCAATGGTAATCATCCTGCCTCAGCCTCCTGAATGCTACTATTGGATTTGTTCTTGATGTTAAATCCTTGCTATATCTAGCACTAAATTTACAAAGTAAAAAAAGCCTTGTCTACCAATAACTTACCCATGCATTTTTTTCTGTGTACCTCAGGATACCTAAAATGAGACTCTACTTGCCAGGCGCCAGTGGTTCACGCCTGTAATCCTAGCTACTCACGCCTGTAATCCTAGCTACTCAGGAGACTGAGATCTGAGGATCTCGGTTCAAAGCCAGCCTGGGCAGGAAAGTCACCGTTGAAATCATTGTTGGGAATTTTAATTTGAGAAAAAAAATATTACCCAATAAGGATGCATGTAGATGGCTAAACGATTTTTACTAAATGTGATGTATAAACAGGGACCCTTATAAATGATCATATGCCAATAAAATATCCTGTGTTAAAAAAAAATCATAGCATTAAGCTACTCAAGAGACTAAGATCTGAGGAATGTGATTTAAAGCCAGCCCAAGCAGAAAAGTGCCCTTGAGACTGATCTCCAGTTTAACCACTCAAAACACAGAAGTAGAGCTGTGGCTCAAAGTGATGGAGCAATAGCCTTGAGCAAAAAAGAGCTCAGGGACAGCACCCAGGTCCTGAGTGCAAGCCTCATGACTGACCAAAAAAAAAAAAAAATATATATATATATATAAAGATTAAATGATTTCCACTGGATTTCTTGTTTCTGTACAAGCAAAAGCTTCTTTATACTTGCTATTTGGAAGTTATTAAGGATTTGTGAGGTATTATAATAATCAGGGCTAATTATTCATTTAGTAGGATAGAATGATCAAGATCAATAATAGAGGAACATTCTCCTTTCTAAGCTAAAAAATACATAAGTGAAATTCCCAATTCTCCTATTGAAACATGTTTTGTTCAATAAATACATGCTTATACACATGCTGATATACAAGACCTGATTTAACATCTTCATTGTCAATCATTCCTTCAGTTTATTCTTTTTTGTATGTGTGTACGGGTTCTGGGGATTGAACCTGGGTGCTGCCTCTGTGCTTTGTGCTCAAGGCTATTGGTCTACCAATTGAGCCTCATCTCTGCATCTGGCTTTTTTTGGTGTGTTTGATTAATTAGAGATAAGTGTCATGGATTTTCCCATCTGGGCTGGCTTTGAACCACAATCCTCAGATCTCAACTTCCTAAGTAGCTAGGATTATAGGTGTGAGCAGTCAGCAACTAGCTTTGGCCTATTCTTTCTTAAGTTTTCTTTTTTTTAACTGTCTTTTGTAGATGTGTTTTAAAAAGTAAATTTATGCTAGTCATTCTTCCATGTTTGCCCAGCAGTATTAGTAGGAAGATATTGTTCTACATGAAATCTAAAGACATTTTGGTAAAAAAATCTAAAGATATTTGAATGCCAATAGTTTCAATAAACAGACGGTTAGCATATCATGAGAGAAAACTGGAGACTGTAAGCGGCTTTTTTTTTTGCCTGTCATGGGGCCTGAACTCTGGGTCTGGGCACTGTCCCTCAGCTCTTCAGCTCAAGGCTATTGCTCTACCACTGGAGCCACAGCGCCACTTCCAGCTTTTTCTGTTTATGTGGTGCTGAGGATTCGAACCCAGAGCCTCATGCTTGCAAGGCATGCACTCTACTGCTGAGCTACCTTCCCAGCCCCAGGCTACTTTTTTTTTTTTGGGGGGGGGAAGTCCAGTCGTGGGCCTGGGCACTGTTCCTCAGCTCTTCAGCTCAAGGCTAGTGCTCTACCACTTGAGCCACAACGCCACTTCCGGCTTTTTTTTCTGTATATGTGGTGCTGAGGAATCAACTCCAGGGCCTCATGTATGCAAGGCAAGCGCTCTACCACTGAGCCACCTTCCCAGCCCTGTAAGCGGCTACTTTATATAAGTAGTCTTAGAAATATTAGGTTACCAGTTGTGTTATGCAGTACAATTGAAGGAAGATATGCTCATTTCCACTTAGGCATGTATTGTGTGATATTACCGAGTCTGACTTGTACATTAAGGTAAATCTTAGTATAGGCCTAGGAATATACTTATCTCCACTTTGAAGACCAAACAGTACTGAGTCTCATGGAATCTACTGGTTTTTCAAGAATTCTGTCCAGGTTAGGATCCATTTTTTTTGTTTTTTTTAGTTACAACAGCTGGGCATCTTTCAGGGTTTTCAACATGGAGTATGGTGCTCAGCTGGACATATGTGGGCACAGCTTCCATTTTCCAGTGGTGGGCTGGGGTCAAGGTGGAGTACTTGTCATATGAACTCATCTTGAAGGGACTAAACTCATGGGCAACCCAGTGCTCAAAGTAAAATGATCATTTTGGATACTGTTATGTCACACCAAAAATTCACTACACACTGAAGACAAAAACTCATTCCGAGTCTTTAAAGATACTCAGATAGCAAATTTCCAACATTATTTACAATGCATTCCAGTAAGTTCCACTAAAGATTAACAAAGGCAATTCCTGCCCTTCCTTTTCCCATGCCATACTGATCCTCTGAGCTTAGGATAGCAACACTACAGTATTCCAGTGTTAACAGAGACAAGGGCAGACATTGACTTGCTCTAAAATTCAATCTATAAAGTTATATTTCACTAAAAAACTTAACAGGTCCTGAATTCAACTCTGAGCTAAATTTTTAGAACAGGAAAAATTTTACACGGCTTTTCCTCTAATACCTCTTAGATTTTACTACCTTGAAACATATTCAATGCTTCTTGAAGGGTTCTTTTTTATTTTTGGCTAGTCGTTGGGCTTGAACTCAGGCCTTGGCTCTGTCCCTGAGCTGCTTTTGCTCAAAGCTAGCACTGTATCTGTTTATGTTTATGTTCTGTTTATGTAGTACTGAGAAATCGAACCCAGGACATTATGCATGCTAGGCAAGAACTCTACCACTAAGCCACATTCCAAGCCCGTGTTCCTATTTATAAAAGCTTTGATCAGGGGCTGGGAAGGTGGCTCAGTGGTAGAGTGCTTGCCTTGTATGCCTGAGGTCCTGGGTTTGATTCCTCAGCACCACATAAGCAAAAAGAAAAAAGCCGGAAGTGGTGCTGTGGCTCAAGTGGTAGAGCGCTAGCCTTGAGCTGAAGACCTGAGGGACAGTTCCCAGGCCCAGAGTTCAGGTCCCATGACCGGACCCAAAGGAAAAAAAAATACTGATGATTTTTCCCCTTAATCCTTTTATGGCTTAGTTTCGCTA